GACAGGCAGCGGAGGCAAAAACGCAGGCAGGGCACTAGAAAGAGGCGCTCTGCTCCTTGTGCACCTGTGCCATTTAAAAACTTACCAACTGCTGTGGCGCAGGAGGGCAGGGTTTGACGGCTTGCTCCAGCTGTTCACTAAAGATCCAGACACCTTCCCTGCGCCTGGTGAGCTCCTGTCTCCTCACCAAGCTTCCAGTCACAGGATTCAGGAAAATAAAAGGTTAAGAGAGGCTGCTGGTCTCAAAAGCACCGAGAGGGCTCTGAAGATTTTGCTCGAGGCAAAGTTTATCCCTTTCTTTTGGTGCCAACGCATCCCGCCTTGGGCAGACCCTGCCGCCGCACAGCTGGAACCGGGGTCAGAGCTAGTGCTGGCAGCCTCTTGCAAATTAGGATCGAGGTGCATTTACTACAAAGAACAACTTGAGAATAAAGCTTAGTTTCCATCACCAGCTCACATCAAAACCAAGCGACGATCGCTTTGTTTGTTTCAAAGTACATTTGTGCAAGTTCACAGCAGAAACGTTGCCGCCTACAAAACAATTAGTTAAAAATTAACTCGCCCGAGGCATGTTGGCTACAACAGCAGGTCGCAGCTTCCACGAGGACGTGTGTCGGAGGCCCAGAAAAGCCTGAGCAGGAGCCTACGAGTGACTACGCACAGAAATCAGCGCTATCCGGCCAGTATATTTTCACATTTGCTCTTTTCCCCCAAGCTAAAAACACGCTCGGTGTAAGACAAATTACCAGCGAAGGCATTAAGCTGATGCTCCGTGCAGAACGCACTCTGCAATACAAAGCAAACCTGGCAGAGGAAGGACTCTGCATTGGTTAAGCGAGGAGAGACGGAGAATTTGCCCCGTCCCTCTGGCTGTGCAGCCCTGCGAGTCACTGCAAGCCGCAGTCATGCTTCAGCGCAACACTGGATTGTACCGAAAACCCACTGGGAATTGTAAAAGTAAGGATTCCAGTTTTGGTGATGTCACCGGCACCTCAAGAGATCTCCAAATAACCACCAGACAGAAGTTGGCAATATTTTTTGGTTTTTTATAAAAAAAAAACCCAAAACAAACCCAAACCCAAAGCAATTTCCATCAGTGCCCCCTTTCCTGAGCCGTACCACAGCACCTTCACCAAGGAACACCGCAAGCCCAAAGCGTGAACTGACAAGCAACTCGTTTCCATTCCAGCTAGGAAGAATAATGTAAAACTCAAGAAAACAGTGAACCTCTTTGGTATATAACAACAGAATAAGTTATACCACAAAGCTCGAGTAGGAACCATTTCCAAAATGGTAACGTTTAAAATAGCGTTAGCTAGCCAAACTTTTTTCCCGTTTGGAGAATTTCCCTAAAAGCATCTCCTAGTCACGCCAACATCCCAGGTTTCACCCAAAAAAGCAGGCAAGGATCTCGAGCGCTAAAGCCCTCAGCAAGCCCGGCAGCTGCTGTTCTTTCCCAACGCAAAATCCTGGGATCTCTGCAGGACGGAGGCGGCCTGGTAGGATAGGAAGCAGCGCGATTTGGAAGCAGGAAGAGGGAACAGAGGTGGCGGTGGGGAGGCTCGAGAGGGTGGCAGCTGAAACGGTGACTCCCGAATTCGTGGCAGCAGCCGAGGGAGGAGGGAGCAGGCTCGCTCTCCTGCCACGTTTCACAGAGGCGCTCGCAATCCAGCGGCATGAGGCGAGCGGAAAAGGCTCCCTGTGAACGTTAACGCCTGGGAGAGAACCGATTGGTACCGCGCTGCCGGCTCTCCGGCAAGCAGAGGGGAGGCAGCCCTGCACCTGAAGAGCAGAGAGCTGGGGGCCTGCTCCTGTGAGCTGCCCGAGCGCCAGCTTGCAGAATCGGGCCTAAAGAGATTAAAGCCGCGCTGCCTGGCTTGCAAGGTCAAAAAGCTTTAAAATCAAATTATGCCATAGGAACAACCCGCTGACCGGTGCCGTCCTGCACGGGGGCAGAGCTCTTCTCCAGAAGAATCGGTCCAGAGGCGTTTCAGTACAATTCAGCTGTTGCAGGCAAGAGGGTTCGATTCTCTTTAGGGTCGCTACAGGCTAAGTTATCTGGAAGATCCCTGAATGTGCAATGAAAGACTTATCTCGAGGAGGACGAACGAGCTTCTTATCTGCTAGTGACCCGGCAGGCCACCCAGCTCCGCAGCCCTTCGCCAGCTCCTCCTGGGCGGCCTGGAAATACCAACGGGCTACTCCCGGCACCAGCGCCACGCGCCATCCCTCGCCCCACAGCGCCTGGAGCTGGGTGTTCGCTCAGCCAGTCCGGCTTTCGCCTGCATTACAGTTCCACTTTGACTCCTTTAATAAAAGGGAGACCCGATGGCACCTTCCTTTTGTACTCCAGGTACTCTTCTCCAAAGAAGTGAATGAGTGTGATCTCCTCCTCCTCGATCCGCTCCCTGAAGAAGCGCCAGGATGCCAGCGCGTAGCCCACCACGCAGATGGGATTGCAGAGTAACACCTGCGAACAGACACCGGCGGTTAGCGTCCCGTCGCCTCCCAAAGAAACCGAGGCTGCCCCCCGCCCCCACACGCTAATCACCCTTCGTTAAGTTTGCCATGAGGTCTAAACACTGTCCAACAAAAAGGAAAGACCCCAGCACCTTTTGTGGAATTTCATTCTGGGGAGAAATTAGTGCTTATGAAGAAAGCGGCGCACAGGCAGCTGCCGGCTCCTGCCGCCCCGGCTAAGGGCGGCGTCCCGGCTCTAGAAAGCCCGTGCATGGCCGCGCTGCTTCACATGCAGTCTTTACAGTCTCTCTCCAGAGAAATAAAACCAAATGCCAACCACCAGCCAACCACGAGAAAAGCGCGACTAAGGCAGCGCTGAGTTACAGCTTGACCGCAGCTGGCTTCCAGTCTACCCCCTGGCCGGGGCCCTGGACACTCTTAGAGGGAGTTTTCTGCCATCCAGCACAGGACTGGTATTTGGCAGGAGCGAGGTTGAGTCCGACTGCTTACGGAAGGCATTTTGGCCGTAGGAATGCAAGGAAACTCTGGACACCAGCTTTAGGCCAGCAGTAGATTGCACCCCAACTCTGGACACCAGCTTTAGGCCAGCAGTGGATTGCACCCTGAGCCTCCAAGGGTGTTCTGGCTCAAACCCCGGCCCTGCCGCCCCTGCTTACTCCACACAGAAAATTAAGGCAATGGGGTCTCCCCAAAGATCGCATGGGGCAGAGTGCTCGGGGTTTCCTGGCCCTCCGCGTGCCAGTGGGAGGGAGGAGGCATCAAAATCCACACCCGGGCCACCCCTGCCACTGACTGCCGGCGGTTTGCATCCCGTTACGGGTGTGGGGCAGCATTAAGAAGAAAGACCCAGGTTATAAGACGAAAGTATCTGAGCACGTTGTATACGGTACCTGTGTTCCAATACTCCAGTAAAACCATCCCACGTAAGACGGGTGCCGGAACCACCCATACACCCCACTTGTCACCAAAGTATGAGTATCCGATTTCTCATTCTGAACAATATGGTTGAAGTTGGAGCCAGCTGTGAGCATGGCCGCTTTCCTCAGACAATCCCCAAAGATCACCATCAACAACCCTACAGTACTCAGCCAGGTGATCTGCTTCAGCTCTGCAAGTGAATAAGGACGGGTCGGTGGGTGGGCTTTTCCCCCCATCTCAAAGCACGACACCGTGTAAAACACAGCCAGCATTCCGTGCGCTGCCATCCCGCCACCAAAAAAATAAAAATAGCGTCCCCTGCCACAGAGTCACCCCCGACGCAGAGTCTGTATGTCCTCGCAGTGGATCGCCCTACGGGGAACCCGGAGCCGAGGCAGAGCCCGGCTTTACGGTGTAAAGCCGACATAAAGCGCAGCCAAGCGGACGAACTCGGGCCGGACGTGGGGGGCTCCGCAGCCTGCGTTTGCTGTTATGAAGTGGGGAAGGAGAACATCTCCCCTCTCCCAAAAAAAGGAAGCACCCCAGACTGGGCAAACAGCTACAGTTCTTGCCGATTGGATTTTATTCCAGGTCACAAGACGACGTCCAGATGTAACTGAAGCGTCGTTCTTTGTACCACCAAAGCTGCTCGAAAGACGCAGCCGGAAAAGGGCTGAAGACCCGCTACACAGCGAAGACGGCCTCGCATGTCAGAGCGAGGGGGACACTCCCCCCCGCCCCCCAAGACCGAAACTGAGAGGCTTTAAGCACAGAGAGATTAAGGCTGCATCAAAGCCCTCCTCCGCTGCCAGCACGGGTCAGCTAAGCAGGGGCCACCCGCGCTTTGCTACCAGACGGGTGGGCCCCGGGCCAGCCACGTGCAGCCGGGCAGAGCCAGGGGACACTGGGCGGGAGGGTGGGCGGCAGGGAGGGGCAGGGTGGCCGACCTGGGAAGAGGAGTTTCTCCAGCGTGAACTCCACCCAGGAGGAGAGGGCAGCCAGGTTGTACTCGAAGCTGTGGTTGAGCAGAAAGGAGTCCAGCGAGAGGCTCCGCGGGTTGTTGATGGCCGTCACCAGGTACTCCGAGTAGTGGAAGAGGGAGAGGGAGCACATGTACCTGCGGCGGGAGAGAGGGAGCGCTTGGCAGGGCCGGGGGCCGTCGCACCCGCCCGGCTGCCCCGGCCCTTCCCTTACCATCCGAAGTGGCGCCAGGCAGAGCG